CTTCTACAAGACAGCAGCTGGATGCATGTAACATCTGCCCAAGATGAGTATTTTTATCGAGACACCATCTCTAGCCTTTACTCAACCAAGAGCCCCAAGGCAGGGGGTGTTTTAATTCGGAGTTAACTTCTCCTAGCCTTTGCCTAAAAAAGCGTATCCTACAAGGCAGCAGGACATGGAGCAGGTTGTACTGGGTTACATGTTACCAGTAGCAGGAAAACCTGACCTGACCTGAACATCAGTATAGGTATCATGTTGTTTTACCAAAATGCACATGAAAAATTTTAAATACTTCTAGGAATGTTCCAAGCAAGTTAAAATGTGGGGGTAAATATGTTTATCTTGGTATTTCAAATGAGATATCAAGAACTTTAGTAATCAACCAGCATTATAGATTTGAGTCAAATACAATTTTTTAAGTTTTCAATGTAGACAGTTTTCCCTTATTCAAGTCTGGATATTCAAACCGTTTAAATTGTGAGTAAATTTAATAGAAAAATATAGCCCAAAGAAATCAATTTAGAAAAATAAACAATTTAACAATTATATTTGGGGAGAACCTAAATGAATGGAACGCTGATTGAATTAGACAAAATCAATTTTGCATACAAGCATCTATGGTTATATGGTAAAAAAAACTCTTGTGGTAAGAAATGTTAAACACAACAATTCAAATAACCAAATCATTATTCCTATCATGGTCTAAACATGATGGGCCAAACATAACATTAAAACTGTTGCTTTTATGGGAATTAATAGCACATTTCTTCCGGCGGAACAAACAATTTTCAATGTTTAAATTAGACAACTTTATTAACTTTTAAAAAGTATTTTTCGAAAACTGCCCCATCCATTTAGGTTTTCCCCTATAGGTTTCAGCTTTAGTTCGATGTCAAAACTTTGAATATAAAACATTTAAATATAAAACATAAAAAAATAAAACATAAAAAGGTAAAGAACCTTTCAAAATTATACTTTGTGAATTATTACTTTAATGTGTGTTTACAATTAACTAAATAAGTTCGCTGGATCGATTGATGTAGTATAACAAAATATTTGTTTTTTATTTATTTTTTTATTACGTTTTTATAGAATTATGGAGCATCATATTTTGATTTGATACATCATTTTAAGCCTTAGTTGAATATGGAAAGCAAAATTCGTGGTGAGATAATGAAGGTATCATTCGAAGATAAAAAGTTGTTTAAATCAATAATTGGTACGTTAATAATAGTTCAATATTGTTCTATCTATGCCTTCTTCCTTACATATGTTTTCTATTCTTAGATATATATATAAACTTGAACCTTGAATGTTAGCGTTAAAAATCAAACAAATAGTGAATTATAAACATAATAAATTTTTAACTGTTATCTCGTTTACAGTATCCCATGTTGTATTTTAGAATTTATCCAGCTAATGCACGAGTCTTCGACGAAAGCAAACAAAAGATCAAATAGGAAGTATTTTAAAGTTCTCTTCATTGAACAACTATTTATTTTTGAGTTTTTTTGTAAATTTTTAATACAAAAGAATATATAATACATCTTTAAAAATAATCTTTAAAAATATTTATTGTATTTTTAGTTTGAATATCCCCAAAACTATTTTTCTAACCCTTTATAAGGGGTTAAAAACTCTTATATTATCTTTGAATATTGATTGTAATTGTGTTTAACATATAATGTTAATATATACGGTTATATTCGTATAATAACCATGAAACCAAGCCACGTAAATAGGGCCTTGGCTCAGGGTTATATGAATATAACTATAGCTGTATTAACATTAACTATTACACAATTACAAACAATTTTTTACGTTAATATAAAACGCAACTTGTATTTACATTAGTATAACGTTAATCTAACTTTAAAATTTTATGTTAATATAACGTTACTATGTAACGTAAATCTAAGGTAAGAATTTTACGTTACAAAACCTTTCCATTTTGCCGAAATGGCAATGTTGGACTAACATAAAATCTAACGTAAATAAATTGTTAATACAACGTTGTGTTCCCGCTGGGATATTACATCATCATCTCGTTTCATTGTATCAACACAAAATATAAATGTATGAATGAGATTTATTTTTCACACAGCAGTTTTATTTAAAGGAGCTAAATTTTCTTGAGGAATTTGACGAATCCATAAGTCTTTCATCTTTGGAACGATTTAAAAACACTAACTATTTCACACTTTAATAAAATTGATAAAAATCTACTAAATTGATAATAAATTGCATTTTAAAATATGAAAAACTAAATTTTTAATATTTACAATTTGAGATATTTAGAAACAAATAGATAATCGAAAAATTTAACATCGGATTACTGAAGTGACGTCATAAGAGTTTTTTATTCCATGAGCGGGCCTTCTGCCTTGCTCTAATTTAAAGGCTCAATAAAGACCGGGATTTTTTAAACTCGTATTTAGAATGAAAAATAAGAAAAAAAAAAAATTTTTTTTAAATAAATTTATATATATTTTATATATATATATATATATATATATATATATATATATATATATATATATATATATATATATATATATATATATATATATAAATATATATATATATATATATATATATATTATATATATATATATATATATATATGTATTATTATATATATATTATATATATATATATATATATTATATATATATATATATTATATATTATATATATATGTATGTATATATATATATATATACATACATATATATATATAATATATATATATAATAATATATAATATATATATATATATATATATATATAAATATATATATATATATATATATATATATATATATATATATATATATATATATATATATATATATATATATATATATATATATATATATATATATATATATATATATATGTATATATATATATATGCATTTTTTTTTTATGTATTTTGTTAAGTGATTTTCTACTAATTTATAATTTATAATTGCTCTGTTCTTTTAAGAACATTGAGCACTCTATTTTGTAGAATACATTTTTTTAAAAATTGTTTAAATATATATATATATATATATATATATATATATATATATATATATATATATGTGTGTGTGTATGTATACATAATAACGTTATGTATTCATATATATTATAAATATTGTGTATATGTATATATGTATACATATTATTAATCTGTGTATATATTATAAATGTGACATATATACTTTTTCCCCTGAAGTGTGCTTTCTCGTAATAAAGTTTAACCTGAAAGTTTAACCTGGAATGATTATATTAATTGTTTACCATTAAAATTAAATGCAATTCTATTTAAACTTAGACATCTTGTTGTCAAAAAAATATTAAAATTTATATATTTTGTCTTAGTTCACACCTCACTTTTGGTTGTTTATCTTGGGGACAAAAATCTTATATTAAGAAACATCTTTCTGTTATTCAGAAAATAGCTGTATGAATAAACAATTTTTAACCACATAATTCCCCCCAAATGATTCACTCAAGGACTAATTAATAGACTTTTCCAAATACATAAAAATTAAAAACCGTCTTTTCATTCACAGTTGTATTAATGACACAATGCCCATTATCTTTACAGAATGGTTTACTTCATCAATAAATGCCCATACCCAATCTACTAGGCTGTCTCAAAGTGGCAGATGGTGTGTTCAAGTTTTTGGTACAAAATTATATGGTAGATATTCTTATAAGAACTCTGCAATTTTTTAATTTTTGTTTATTTTTTTAAATTGCTTGTTTTGTTGCCTTTGTCCTTTATGATAGGCTGGCTAAAATGAAGAGAAGTTGCTCTCCTTGTTTTAGCCAAGCTGTATGAGAGTGAGTCAGTTCAATGGAAATATACTCCATTTAACAGCATAGGTTTTAGAATTTTTGATTTGAGATCTTTAGACTCCTAAATGAGTTATTTTATATTCAAACTGCAGATTAGATAAAACTAGATGCATTTACTTTTATTGAACTCAATACTGTCACTTGTTTGGCGATTTTAACTTTTTTTGACAAGCATTTTCAAATCAAATATACTATAATTTTATAGTATATTTGATTTGGAAATAATTTCAAATTAAATATATTTTCTTTTAAATTGGTTATAAATATTACAAATAATTTTGAATTCAAATATTTTCTCAGGTTTTATCAATTTTTAACATGTTTCTATACTTTCTTTTTCTTTTATATGGGCTTGACAAATGTAAAATTCCCCGTCTGATTTCAAGCCTCAGTCTGCCCCTGATACAAATATATATATATATATATATATATATATATATATATATATATATATATATATATATATATATATATATATATATATATATATATATATATATATATATATTTATTTATTTATTTATAGCTAATAGTCTAGACAGCATTCCTATCTCCAAACATATATATATATATATATATATATATATATATATATATATATATATATATATATATATATATATATATATATATATATATATATATATATATATATAAATATATATATATATATATATATATATATATATATATATATATATATATATATATATATATATATATACACATATACATATAAGTTAAGTTAGTGTATTCTACAAAATAAGTGTTTTAAAAGAACAGGACAATAATAAATTAGTAAAATCAAAAACTTAAATTTCTTTTACAGTTTCTTTCACCTTCAACAGGTTCATCAAAAAGGCTTCTTGATGAATCTGCTACAGATGAAACATGCTGTAAAAGAAATTTAAATAAGCATTTTTACTAATTTATAATATATATATTTATATATACATATATATATATATATATATATATATATATATATATATATATATATATATATATATATATATATATATATATATATTTTAACTAAAACTATTTTTGTTAATTTTTTAATATTATTTAATTACATGTTTAAGAATATTTGTGATATTACTTTACATATAATTATGTCCTTTTGTTATTTAATGTTAAATTAGGTATATTATATTATTAATGTTAGAATTTTTCAAAAAAGTCTTTTTGAAAAATATATCAATATTATTTATTAAGACACTGATATTTATTCATAAATGACATCAGCTGCTTTAGAAATAGCCTACATTCATTCTGAAAAATATGTTTCCATATGCGACAAGCATCCAAAAGTGAAAGGTAGAGCATCCATGGTGCATGATCTTATTGAATCTTATGATTTATTGTCACTTATGAAAATAGTTGCACCTTTTGAAGCTTCTTGTAATGATCTGTTGACATATCATACAGAAAAGTATATTCAGACCTTAGAGTTTGTGGAGAAAAGATTAGTTAACAGTATTGAATCACATGAGGAAGATTGTTTTAATGAAGATGAAATAAATTATATTAATGAAATTGGGTTAGGGTATGACTGCTCATTATTTTCGAATATATATTTGTATGCAAAAGCTATAGTGGGTGGCACATTATCTGCCGCTAACTGTTTGATTGATAGTCAGGCTGTTGTCAGTATCAATCTTAATGGTGGTTGGCATCATGCACGCACTGACGAGGCATCTGGTTTCTGTTATGTGAACGACATAGTTATCGGCATTCTTAAACTTTTAACAAAGTTCAAAAAAGTCCTTTATATTGATTTAGATGTTCACCATGGAGACTATGTAGAAGAAGCTTTTTTATATACGAACAAAGTTGTAACTTTTTCTATTCATAAATTTGGTGATGGATTTTTTCCTGGAACTGGCATGAAAAATAGTATAGGCAAAGGTAAGGGTAAGTATTATACAATAAATGCCCCATTGAAAGATGGTGTAGACAATAAAATGTTCACATATGTTTTTAAGAATATTTTCACTGAAGTTTTTCATTGTTTCTCTCCGGAAGTGATTGTCGTGCAATGTGGAGCAGATTGTTTAACGGGTGATCCTCTTGGTTCATTTAATTTAACAAGTGAAGCTCTTGTAGATTGTGTTAAATTTGTTTTAAAAGAAAAAGTTCCAACCATGATCTTAGGAGGAGGTGGTTATAATTTATCTAATACCGCACGTTGTTGGACCCAAGTTATTGCTGGAATTTTAAATACAACATTGAATAATGATATTCCAGAGCATGATAAATGGGAATGCTATGGACCAGATTTTGCTTTAAGTTTTAATCCCAATCACAAAAAAAATGAGAATTCTTTAGAATACATTGAAGATTTGCTGTCATTTTTGAAAGGCAACATTAAATTTATGAGAGGGTTTTCAAAGAATGAAATTTCCATATAGCAATAAATATCATGTGTTCTGATATACATATTTTTCAAAGATGAATTTCTTAATATAGATCTTAAAACTTTTGAAATTATGCTTTGATTTTAAACCTGTACAGTGTTATGTTTTTTATTAGTGTTATTTTTAGATTATTTTAATTGTTTATATAATAAACCTTTCTAAAAGTAGAAAGGTTTATTATATAAACAATTAAAGTCCTATGTTTTGATTTAAAAAAAGTTTCCTTTATTTTTAAATTGTTATATTTTAAATATCTTGTCATAACTTATTCAATATGGTAAAATATACCCTCAAAAAGAAAATTGTTCAAGGTGTTAAATGCTCACTCATGTATCTCATCACGGCGCAGATCAAGGATTTTTGTGAAGCAAGTTTTAAACTTTGAACTTTTATATATTTATGCATACGTCATTTGACCATGTTTGGTTACTTAGAGAAAATGTTTTTCCTCTTTAAAGGAAAATTCTCTTCCTAAGCGACTAAATTCCTGTAGGCTGTATTTTTTTTCTTTTTCGAAATAGTTCCTGATAAGAAAAAAATATTAATTTTATTGAGTACTTAGTAAGTCTTATTACAAAAACTTAGCTACTTTCCAGAAACTCGGTCTAATTAACCGGTTTTACTCAGAAGGAGGACTACTTGTTTCTCCGCGCAGCAGACTTGTTCATCAAGGTTCGTGTTTCGGAGTTATAGAGTCGAGAGAGGGTTATAACCACAATTAAGTAGCCTCCTCGTCAGTAGTGGCCTTCTCGGCTTTGAAGATATTAAAACGGCTATTAAAACTATATAAAACTATATAAAAAACTATATAAAAAAGATATTAAAACGGCTATTAAAACTTCGTATTAACGTTTGCTTATTTTTTCAAATTCGGTAAACCTAACAAAATGATGCATGTATTGACATGCATACAATGATGATTGTATTGACTGGCGAATACAAAGGAGGGGGTGGGGATTAGCCCCTAAAGAACTATCAAACTTTACATTTTTATTAATAAAAATTAAAAAAAAAAAAGGAAAATTAAAAAAAATGCTGTTTTAAAGTTATACACACATTTAATATATATACCGTATAATCTCTCTAATTCGAATCTCCTTAATTTGAAAACCTCCATAAATCGATTAAATGTAAAGTCACCGTGAAATACCCTTATGTGAAAAAAACTTTCTGTAATTCTAAAATCACTCTAATTCAATTTTTTATTTTCCCCATTTTTGTTCGAATTAGAGAGATTGTACTGTATATATTTGCCAATATATAAACATTGTAAATGATCAAATGAAATAGTTGTTTAACCTAAAAAATAGGGCCCTTTTTTTTGTTGTTGTTCCGACTATTCTCCATTAGGACCAATCAGTGACCTGGATCCGCCATTGATTGTATTGCTGAGTTAGTGGACGTTTTATTTTAGTAAAACTTTCGTTTAGAAAGTTTTGTTTTTGTTTAGCTTAGTTTAACTTAAATCTTACGAAAAAGATGCTTTGTATTACTAAATTAGTCTACGCAGCGCAAAGATAAAGCTGCCGATTTTTAATTTAAAAAGCAATCTTTTATTCAAAAGATTGCCTGGCCAGGCCAAAACCCTCCGTCTATGTATGTACGTTCCACTACACCAATCCTTAGATAGTCAGTCGATGTATACACACTCCACTTCGCCAATTTCTAGATAGTCAGTAGACGTGTGTACACTAAATTGTGTTTACCCCTATATCAGTATACAAGTATATATTTGCAACCTATAAAAAGAAACAATCAGATTTTGCTACTTGCTGAATTCCGATTGGTTCATTAATAGTCACAATGACTATTAGTGACTTTAGGCACAAAAATTAAAGCAACAGTACCGTTGCGCTTGACACAGCGTTTAGTTAAATTATAAAACATCAAATTATTATTTAATTCCAATTTTTTTTTTTTTTTCTTACTTTTTAATTTTATCGATAAAACTTTAAAGGTTGACAGTTCTTAGGGGGTGCGGGTGGGGCGGTGAGGAAGGAGTGATTTTAAAAACAAATTACCCCCTCCTAAACTGGGGGACGGACTTGACGTGTTACAAGGGCCCAAAATTTTTTTTTGGGGGTGGCTTTCCAACTGTCTGGCACGGCACTGTATACTAATTAGTAAATATATTAATAATATTGTTATTGCATTTGATTTTTTTGTTTGTTTGTTTATTTAAATGTCATTCGATCGAATAGTTTTTAACCTTACAAGTGACATCTAACGTGATTTTTATAAAATTATGATTTAACTAACGTGATTTTTATAAAACTATTATTTTTTTTGATTTTATAGTTAAATAAGTGGATTATTACATTTGTGGCAACCTTTTATTTGGCTAAAGTACAATCTTAAGTTTTTCTAGTTTGTAAACTTTAATTGTTCAAGGACATTCTTATTTTTATATGTTTTTTACAAAAAATAAAATCATCAACTAAAATACAAACATCACAAAACAAAAATTATTTTTATCAGACAATAAGGCCCTACAGTGAATGAACTACTTTCCTATCAAAAAGTTTAATATTCATTTTTAAAGTAGTTTTTATATTGTACTAGCGGTCCTTAAGTTTTAACAGGTTTTAATACAAGTTTGAAAATCAGTTAGTTTTTTTTTTTTAATTTTCAAAGTCATATTTTTAAACAACAAGTGAATAGGTCATTATTGGTGGCAACTGAAACAATTGGAATTTTTCCATGAGGCAATGTTTCATACATTATATAAAGATTTACAGTTATTTGACTTAAATGAAAATTTTTTTATTCATTTTTTTCTCGGGTTTCAACTTTGTGTTTATAAATACTTTCAGTCAAGATACTACAGAATCCTGTTCTTGCATAAAAAACTTTATTCATCTTGAACTAATAACACCTAAATCAATTTTATCTAAAATCAAATTTTACGTTCTCAACCAGTTATATCTGATCCAGGCTTAGCATGTATTTTTCATTTTTAAAGGAGTCAACCTCATCTCATTTATGAACTGCATCTGAACATTTTTTACCTATTTTTTAAATTGTTTCCAAACTATATTTAATTTCAAATATGATATTGCCTAGGCAGTTGTGATGTTTTTTTCTTTTAATTTTGAAATAAAAAAAAGTGAATAATTTTATTTAGTTCATTAAATAATCTTATAATAAGATTTTATAAATTTAATGTTTATTTTAGTAAGAGCTTCATTATGTACTTTAAAGTTTGCGAATACCAAAATTTTCTACCTATAGGTAGAAAAACTTACACATCTATAGAAATATATATTTTTAAACTATCTATAATATTTTTCTATTACATTTGGTATAAATAAAAGCAAAAGAATTGTAAATTAGGAATTTTTTTCCCACTGATTTTATTTATATAAAATAAATAGTTTTATAATAAAAATGACAGATATTTTTTTTTTAGTTGCGTAACAAAATAAATAATTACATATCGGAAAATAATCTAAAAGTTTATTACGTAAACGCAACTTTTTTTTTTTAATTCAACTTTATTTCATACTTTCCGTTTTATTTGACTGTAGCTTAAATTTAAGTTAGAGTTTAGTAAAACTTCCTACGTACTTTTCTAAGCCTTTCATACCCAGTGGACTCAAGACGTAAAAAAGACGTCTTTTAAACGCCATTTTAAACTTCTTTTCAACGTTTAGGACGTCTTTGAACGTTCAAAATAGGTCGTTTTGTCGCTTTTGTACTTTATTAGCCTTTCATATATTGAAGCATGAACTAAAACACATCCAATACAAAATTTATGAAAGGCTAATAAAATACAAAAGTATTTTATTAGCCTTTCATATATTGAAGCATGAATTAAAACATATCCAACACAAAAAAAAAATTAAACTAACTAGTTCGTTTGCTAAAGAAGTAAAAAAGTATATACGAAGAGTAAACTTTATGAAAATTATATTCAAATGGTTTAACTTTTTAAGATATTATCTGTGAATTAAAATTTTTTTAAATGTTTTTTGTACTTTGTAGCTCACAGATTATTTTTTAAAAAAGTTTAATCATTTTTTAAAAAGTTTGTTTGAAAAGAATTTTGCTAAAGTTTATCTTTTTTTTTTTAAGCAAATGAATTTAGCAAACGAATTTAGCAACTAAAATAGCTAGTTTTTAAAACATTTTTATTGTATTGAATGTGTATAATGCTTCAATATACGAAAGGCTTAAGAAGTAAGTGACAAAAAAACAGTTCTAAGATTATTTATTTTGATCAGCCACACTAAATGATTATTTTTAACCAAACTAAATGATTATTATATATCTGATCAAAGTATATTTTCTCAAAGCATTTATTTTGTTTTTTAAGTTTCAGCATTAAGCTTTTAAGTTAGACTTTTAACATAAAACCTTTTATATTTTCCTTTTTTTTTAAATTAAAAACTTTTTTAAACACAGTGATGGCGTATACGCTGTTGTTTGATTTTTTTTTTTTAATTATTTCCGTTCAACATTTACAATTAACTTTCACTTTCAAGTTGTTTTGTAAAAACAAGCAGTTTTATTAAAAATAAAATGTAGACAACAAATAAG